TGAACCCTTTCGCAAGAATTAGCTCGCCTGGGGGGAAACTAGGTCACCCATTGATGAAGGCCCCGTACTAGCGGACGCTGCACTTTTAGAGACGCAAAGCAACGTCATTTGCTTAGTCTTTGGCGGGGGTGTTCAAGGTGATATATCATCCAAAAACCACCCGCTTTGCAGGGTTCCGTTCCTAACATCAGCTGAAGGTTGTTTCATTGGCCAAAAAGTATCCCTTAAGGGGGCCGCGCGGCTTGATGTTGACGTGTTTTACCCCGTCTCAGGAGGGCCGCGGCCGCGGACGCTCGTCCCTGTGCAGTTTGTTCGACGTGGACTGGGACGATCTCGCTCAGGCGCCTGGGTAAGGAGTAATTTTGACCGCGGCTTATTCAGGATAATGAGGCAACGAATGTGAGCGCATGTTGTTGGACGCCTTGCCCTGCAACAGCCTCCCATATTTTCCGCTTTTCTGGCTGGCACGCCCACGGTGTTCTTTCAAAAGCTTTCGTTTGTTGCATGATGTTTTGGGGTGGGTGGAAGGGCCTCCCCCGCCGTCCGAGGGCCGGCGGCTTGCCGCCGCCGCGCCTCAGCGAACACCGTTGCCAGGGAGCCCCGACTCAGAGCCGGAGGACTGTGCTGCGCGGGCCGCTTGGACGTTGCGGGGACTTGGTCTTGCGGGGGAGTATGGCTCAGCCCAAGTCCCGCAGAACAAGCGAGCACATAAAGACGAACCGCGGCAAGGGAGCACAGGCGTGGCCTTCCTCCTTCAAGCATTTCGCCAAATTAGGGGGGGGGGTCAATCGGGGAATACCTAAAATCAGAATTGGGCCCACTCAAGTAGTCTCTTCGTCAGTTCTTGATTGGTTTTCATTGAGGAAATGCAGACAATCCCGAGCCCTGCCAATACTAAACTAATATAAACCGATACTAAATCAATCAAACCAATACTATCTAGTACCAAACAAATACTAAACCAATCCTCAGCCAGCGAAACCAACTGACAGCCAATTCTTTATGAGACCCTCTTCTAAGGGAGCCGCCCAGACAATATTTTAAAGGGGAGGGGTGAAGGAAGTCCCAACAAGTTGATAATGATCATGTTTAAGGGGCGGACATGGGGAAAAGAGAAACACATCTGGGCCAGTATTAAACTTTCAGATTTTGAATTACCTCCCCTTGATTGTACGCTATCCAACAATACCCTCAAAAGAAGACCCAGTAGCTGTCCACAGCCATTGGGAAAAGGCTGGCCCCTTTTTGTTGATCTCAAGGCATTGGACGATCCTCGCCAGAGCTTGCTGGCGCTGGAGCGTTTGTTGGGATCTTTGCCTGAAGAGCCGCTTGGCATGGAATGTCCGGTGATGTGGTGGCTCAAAACCTTGGCTGGCAGCTTGTTTGTTGTTTGCTTGTTTGCTTTCTTTCTTGCTTTTGTTTGTTGGCTTTACCATTGCTGTTTTTGTTTGTTTGTGACGTTGACGGGTCTTGTCGGCTCTTTGCAAGAAGCCCTCCCTCTGGGTGTCATGCGCTTCGCCGACCTTTGGCCAAGGCAGGCCAAGCTGATCTGGTGGCAGTTCGCGCGGTACGAGTCGGAGCTTGGCTACCTGCGGTCAGTTATCACCTCATACGAGGACGTCCGCGTCGCTTGGGTTGAGGGCTCTCGAAAATAGAGAAAGAGCTGCATCATTTCGAGCATGCCCTAAACAAAAGTGCGCTTTCGCAAGGCCATCCGCGATCCGCCCGTACTTGCGCTGAAAACACGCATGTTTGGTCTGACAAATCGACACCAGGCGCCTGGAGGATCCCCAGGTTGCTGCGCATGAGCTTTTTGTTGTTCGTGCACGCTGACAGCTTCTTGGTGCCCAGTATGTAATGAACAAAGGTTTTGGGAATGTACCCAGCCACTGCTTTTTTTTGGTTGCGTTTTTTTTGGGTTGGCTTGGGGAAACCGCGGTGCAACCAAAAGGCGGCCAATCAGTTTGACCGCGTGCGGTTCACCGGACTTCCTTGGTTGTTGAGCAAGCCCTCAAATGAAACCAACCGTTTTTGGGGCCCGCCAACGGAAAGAAGTCAACTTCAGATTGTGTGGGAAGATCCACTTGACAAGTGATCGGAAGCAACCGAGACTTCCCCTGCGCTCGCGCGCCGAACCTGCGGCCGGTGGATTCGCTTGCTCAGGAGATTTGCCTGGGGGCCAACGGGTGAGGAAAATGGCTCGCACGCGCTCTTCCTGTTGCTGCGGTTGCCGCCGGTCGGTGGTCCCGGGTTCATGTGGGGTTTGTTCAAAGGTCCTTCTGTTATCGTTTGGTCAAGATTTATTGATTTCTCCATGGTCCATTTGGGATGAATACGGGGGACCCTCAAATCACTTCCCCACAACCAGGAAACCCCATGTCCAGTAGACTTTGATCCTCACATGTAGGATCAAGCAGTGCCTATCAGATATGAAGAAGGATGTTCAAGCCATGTGTGCTGAAGCATGCCCAGCGCGCAATTTGTTACCACTGTAGGTAGCCAGGGTTTCTTACCTCTTGATTTGCATGGCGTCCCCTCGAATCCCCAACTGCAGTGATAACTGGAAGCATGAGATGTTTAAAACAGTTTGCGTTGCAGCAAGTTTCAACAGTTTGTCAGGGTCCAGCAAAATGCTGGACCATCTTGGGATGTAAAGGGAAACCATAAAAGAAGCCTACCATATCAGAGATGACTTTGAGAACCCCCCCAGTTCTTTGTAAACGTGCCGCCGGGTTGACTCGTTTTCCGTTTCTGGCAGCCCAGGCTTGCGCCGGCGCTATCCCAGGCTTCGGGCAAACGTGACGTTTGAATGGGCATGGGAGCTTCTCACTCTTGAGTTCATGGGCTTTTTGGGAAAGTTGTTGTTACTTAGTGGCAAGCACTTAAAGTATCTTAAAGTGTTCTGGCCCTTTTTGCCTATCCACTCGATTGGAAGCGAGCTGGTGGCTTCCCAACGCAAGAGTGGTTAACCCAGGCTAGGGTTCCCTTTTTGTGCGAGGGTCTCCAACTGAGGAGAGAAGATTGGAGTCAAAGGTGTCCCTTATGTGTCAGCCTTGTTGAACAGATAGCGCTGCCTGCTCTACGGTACTCGTTGGCCCCCCCTTGACTGACCATGCAGTTGATGACTGAACTGGGGGAGGGAGGCTCTAGGATTGGAGGATTCACCTGAGCGTGGCTGTCTGAAGGTAGACGAGCAGTAACTGTGCCGATTAAGTAAGCGTTTTTACATGCATGCATGCATGCATGCATGCACACACATAGATATGTTTCTATACAGATGTAGATACCTACGCACATATACATTACGCATGTATTCCCCAAACGGGATCCACAAGCCTCCCCGAGGGCCGCGCCCTGCACTTCGCTCCGGAGTCCACCAGCCACGCTGTACGGCGCTCCGCCGACGTGGAGCGTGCGGCGCCGCTCGCCGCGGCGGCGCTGGCGCCGCTTGGAGAAACCTGTCTCCGCAGCTGACTTGGGGCCAGGGCTTACATGGGTGGCCCATCTTCTTTGAGGCTCGGTACCTTTGTTGTTTGGCCCACTTACCCAGCGGTGCATCCTCCGCAGTAGGGCAGACCATACGAATCGCTCAGATGCGCTCTTCATCACAGCCCTGCACACAGAGCCTAAAAGAGTGGCTCCCCAAACTGATGTACCTGACGGAACTCAACCCCGGCCAAACAAAACTGCACAGCCAACGCCTCACAACTAACTAGTATACACGCCCAGCTGAGAGGCATTGGCCCCTGACTCAAGTCACTGCTCACACAGCAATCTCCTGGGTTAAAACTCCAGTGCCTGCCCTGGTTCTCTTGGGCATCATGATCATGCTTATGACGGGGCTATAGCGGTTTATACGGCCTACGTTTTTTGGGGAATGCGGATGTGGTGGTTACAAAGGTTATCGAGGACGTGTCCTGCTTCGGCTTTTGCAGGTATGGATGCTTATATGCCGCCAAAACAAGCTGGTAAGGCAGGCAGCATTCCTTATATGCGTGTTATATTTGCTCCATACCTCCAAAACCCATCCCAGGAAAGTCCATAGTCTGGGTCTTCTCCGGGGCCGTGTGTCTTACAATAGCCCGAACATGGCAAACATTTCCCGCTCGCCACCACTCCCAGAGGGTACCCTCAAAGAGACGAGCCCGGAATCCTGGGGTTGGGCCAAGACATATCCAGGGGGGCGCGGGGGTGGGGGTGTAGGCTCTCACGGGCGTTGGAGGTGGTTGATCAGATTTTCTCAGGTTATATCCCAAGGGGAAAACAGCGCTTGCTCCCATTGAAGGCACTGGTCTTTCCAAGGCCCTTTCAGTGTTGCAAAAACGAGGTTCGGACTTTGGTTGCCACTTGCTTTGGGAAAACCAAGCGAGAGGGATGCCCTCACTTGGAGGCTCCCTTGCTTTGGGTTGGTGGCCAATTTCTGTGCCTCAAGGAATCCCCTGGAACGTCATGAGATATGGGATGGCAACCACATATGGTATCACAAGCGTCATGTTCCCTACTGGTAAGGGTTAGCCCGGAAAGTAACGGGCCTTTGATAGCCAGGGTTCGGGTTCGAGGGCGTTGCGGGATTTGAGACGTTCTGGGAGATGAGCGCCCGACCCACATATATGTGCTTTTGGCGGCTGGGCTATCATCTTGTGGCCTCTTCACGCCTTCAAAGAAAGCAGACTTCTCTGGGTGAAGACTTCTATGACACTCTGCAAGGATAGACCTACCGAACGCCCGCGGCGTGGAAGTTGCATTGAATCGCCTCAAAGGCAGCGCGCAGCCTCAACAGCCGGAGCTGTGCGGTATCCCTTTGGATCGGCTGGTTCGATAGCAAAAGAGGCACCCTAAATTGCACCAAGGGAAATATGCAAATAGGAGGGGTCCCGTTATTTTTGTTTTTTTGGTGATTTTAAGGAACACCTTTTGGGCCAATGTAAAGTTAATTTGCTTTTGGCGTGATGTTTAAGGAGGAAATATGAGGAGCTCTGCATATTCATTACTTTTGCAAA